CTATAGCTAATAGTAGCGAACCTTTCTTTCTCATACTTGAAGTTAGGCTGAAAAATTTAATTTTTCCATAACATCGTCTCAAACTTTAAATGTACGCAAAAGTTCGTACATTGTGGAACATATTTAGATAGAACATATTTACAATTTCTTGCATCACATAATAATAAAGTGAGTGTGTTACAACTATTTCTAAACATGTAGTAGTAGTTCTGGCCATCACAAAATGTTACTCCTCATGTACTGTTAGGCCTTGTACAATGTTAGACACTTAGGGAGGTGCCTATAAAAATAAACCGGGTTTTTCTGAAGCATAAGTGACTATTTCTACAAGAGAGATGCTTAACTAAGCGTTTGTCCTGTACAAATAAGCACCGATGCTTAAGAAAAGCCTAGTTTATTTCTCCAAACACCTCTCTTAAGCACCTTGCACTGTATAAGGCCTTAGCAGCTTCCAAACTTGAATGACATACATGAAACCGTCAAATGGCAAAAACTAATTGGTATACCGCTGCCTAAAATAAAAAAATTAACAGATGAATGCCATATAAAACTGAGAAATAAAATGCTATCACCAAGTGTTTGGGGGAAATGGGGTCGACACTCAAAACAAAACTTACTTCCTGCTAGTACATGTGCTTTATTACTAGGGATGTGTACGGTTGCTATGATCTTGTCTTTGCAGTCTGAAGAACAGAGTAAATGACCCGCTTGTTATTGCAGTCTGAAGTTGGGCAACTCGCATGACAAACAGAAAGGAGCACTGAATAACAAAAATAGAGATAGCAACGGGAGAGAATCTTGGCCGAGGCGTCTGTGGAGGAGTCAGAGAGCAGTCGGAGGCGAGGTGGTCATGGCGGAATCGGATAAGCCGTCAGAGGCAAAGCGGCCCGATGGTCGTGTAACTCATGTCGGACCCAGAGAGTCGGCTACGGTGAGTAGCCAGCAGGCAGAACTATAGGAGGGCCATTACGTGAAGATCGCTGTCCAACCGCCACACCCTACAATGAGCAGAAAATGGATTCCTTTTTATGAGGGAGAGAGGATTTGGTCGTTGATATTCATTCTCCTTTTGAGTAAGAGCATCTCCAGCCGTTCGGTCTTCAGGGCGCCGAAAAAGAGCGACATGGGGGTGAGCCGACGGCATACTCGGCGCTGGGTGCGGTTGTGCACGCAGCCGTCGCCCCCAGGCGCCGATTTCGGCCCACTATTCGGCCCAATTGTATCCAAAAACGGCCCGATATCTGCGTGAATTGGCCCATATTCGGCACGGTTCGGCTTGTTTCGGCGTGAATTTTTGCATACAAATAGAAATCAATTAGTTCATCACATAGTTCGGCATGGTTCGGCGTGTTTCGGCTTCAGCTTCCTCCTCCAGCAACACCGCAAGCGCCTCCTCATCTTCGGAGTCCATCGCCAGGCTGGGCAAATCACCGAACACCTTGTAGGCAGGGTGGGCGCAAAACCGCCGGTGTACTACCCCTGCGCGGCCGGAACGCCGGAAAAGTTGCCCGGATAGCGGCGGAGAGGCTGCCTCGGCGAAACCTCTTCTTTTTTCCGGCGGGGAATGATCTATCTAGCTGTGGTGGGCGGTG